CAGTATATAATATGCATTTTTAAACGAATATTTTGTATATTTATTATCCGGTATACATGCAGAAAGAAAGTAGGTATACACAATGATAATTTCGCGATTATATAGCTCAGCGAGTGTCCAATAGTTGGCGCAATGTTACAAACGCTCGCGCGGTTTTGTAATATTTATTAGCTTCGGGTTTTTATAGTATGTCCTCGAGTCATCCGTCATTAACTATACGGCCGGTAAAAATAAAAAAAAAATTATTATTACATTAAGTCGTATACGAACCGACAACACCGTTTAACACGATGATGTGTATTATTATGTGTACGCAAAATTAATGAAATGCACGGAATATCAGAAATGAAAATAAATAGTGCAAAAACGAAGAACTTAATATGAGCCAGAGACCCGTAAATAATAGTTGATGCAATCAACAACTAGATCAAATATTATATGAAATTGTACATTTATAAGTGAGCAAAATCACATCGGATGGTAAAAGCACCAGAGAAATATTGAACGCATACACAATTGAGAAAAACAGCTTATAATTAAAAAAAAATTAAACAGAAAATTGGATTTTTATACTAACCTACGGGTTGAAAAAAAGAATATACGTAAACGGGAAAGTCGTGTGACGGACGTGTCGCCTGTAATAATATAGTAAAAAAAAAAAACACCGTGATTATTGCGCAAAGAACTCGGTCTAAACTTTTTCTGTGGCGTGATAGTAAAAAATAATAACAATGTTCGTTTACGTCATGAACTCGTCGTGAGTTTGACTCGACGACCAGACTACAAAACTCTACGTCTCTAAGTTTCTATTTTTAACTGAATTCCAACGAAACGTAATTGTGACGGGGTTTCCTTAAATCAGTGGTGGAGTTGTAAAGGTTATAATAATAAAGTTAATAAGAAGACGGCTGGTTTAGCTAATGAGGTATTTGAGGTAGAACGAGTTGACTTTTTTGCAAAAGGCGTTTAGACGTTCAACGACGAGTTACAAAGTTAATGTAATAACAATCAATAGCCAGGATTTATCGACGGGGGGTGTAGGGAAGATAAGTGTATGGAGATCTTAAGGTCTACGACTTGCTTGACCTTACCTATAGTTATTAAAAAGCAATGGAGGGGGAGATTACAGTCCACTAATTTAGCGATGTAATATATTAAGTACCTCTACGTGCAAGCGTGGGGTCTTTTATCAATACAAAATTGATGACGCGGGCGATTCAAATAATTATTGTTCGACGTTTGTTATATCGATAAAAAAAGTTTACGCAGCGTACATAGGTAAGCAAGATCGTATAGCGAACCCGTCGTTGTGCGTAAACCTACATAATACAAGATTATGGCCGACAACAATTTTTACGACTAGACGGGTCAAGACCGGCAAATATAATTGATATAACCGTTTGAATTCAAAAAGCGGAAGAGAAAAAAATAAAAAAATAAAAAAATATGTCGCTAATAATATGCGTAAGGATAGATAGGAGGGGACGGCGGAATGGGTGAAGGGGGTGTGTGTGTTTGGGGGAGGGGGGTCGCCCGGTCGGCCCGGTCGGTCGTAATAATACGGCAAACTCGTATTTCGGCGGCGTGACCGCGCGCGCGACAAGACTACTTTCGAAGAAGAGCTGCCCGCCCGTCCGTAATATTTTCCGTCTCCCACTCCGGGCCGGAGCTCTCGCGGGCCGCGTGTGCCGGGCCACGGTGCCCGGGACAGGTACTAATGTTGTACGCGTATATTATTACGGTGGACGCGATAGAGAATAATAATACTATCCAACGCGCTCGACGGCTACTATACAACTATATACCATATATATATATATAGAATAATACTAGTACGTTATAGTATATTCCGAGTGTGATATTATGTATTATATACGTGTGTACAGGGTGTCCGGCCACGGAGATTATGCCCGTTGCGATATCTCCGGCGATAATATCGACGGTGTTTTGTTAAAAGGGCGTGTACCTACCGCTAAAAATAAAAAAAAATAATAAAAATAATAAAAAATACTTTTATGATGACGAAAAAAAAAAAAAAACAGAAAGATCAGGATCATTTGGTTACGGGTAATGCCGACTACAAGATATCCAGGCGCCCTTTTAAAACGGTTATTGAATCCACAGTCTCGACACGGATTTCTTAAAAGGGCGCATACCGCGTTCAATGCATCATATATATATATAGTGTGTACGAGTAATTCTATTGTTTTTGCAAAACAGTTCTGTTTTGCTCCCTGAAAAAATGTGAAATTATTATTATTATTATTATTAAAAGACGCCCGTTCAACAAAACAAAGATGCCTAATCGGGTTCTGTTTTTTTTTTTTTTTTTGTATATTTTTTGCAGGGATAAGGACTACAAATATTTATATTTCAATTCGTATGTTTCGGTAATTTTGGAAAATATTCGAAGTTTTATGTAGAGTTTATTTTTCAGCACATTTTGACGTATTGACTTTTTGTTTTCGTCGAATCCGTGATTTTTCAAAGTTTAGAGAAAAAAGCGTAAAGTCGTAATAATAATAATCATCATCAGCTAGTGAATGCGATCACAGCCCGCCGCATATAATTATAGGTACTTTACTCTGAACTGAATTTAACGAAACAATAAAAGTCGAAAATGCTCAGAAGAATAAACTTTATAAAATGGCCAGTGTTTTTCACCGAAGCATACAAATTTAATTCAAATGTAAACACGAATTTGGTAGTCTTTATCCCCGCAAGTAGTGCACAAAACACAGAATTCAATTATCTTCGTTATCTCAGAAGACATTGGAACGGGTTCATCTTTGTGGGACATCCTGTATGTGTGCATACAAACATATTGTAATAGTGATGTTATACACGTATTACTCGGGCACGAAAACGTCGTCGGAGCGAACGGCGACAGCCGAAAATCGGCTACTTGGCCCGCCGTCGTCACGATCGCGCGGCGGTTACGCGGGTATAGAAAAAAAAAAAAAAAAAACGAAACGCGGACAATTTTTATTAACTTTACGAAACGGGTATAATATAATATTATTATAATGCACGCGTGTTATATCCGTCCCGTAAGCACAGTAACATGTATACGATATTTATTGTGTGAATAACCCGTAACGTATTATACATACGAGAGTACGTCATTCCAGTACGCCTTGGGTAAATTGTAGCGATATTCTTATTATTATTATCACTATACATACGAGTGCATAATATACCATAATACAATACTATTGCACGCTCGCGGGTATAGATAGTAAACTTGATTGCTTGCAGTGGCGCAACTAGAGCTTCTAATGTCCGCGGCAAAATATCGTATTTTAAGTCCTATAAAGGCCGAAAATGTCTGTAAAAAAGACGCTCGCCTGTCCAATAATGCCCTGTACTTTGGTCTAGACCACTGCTAGGTGTTTGCCCACCTTGCTCGGCCAGTATTTACGCCACTGATTCCTTGGTTCCCTGTACCAGTGGCGCCGAAGACCTAAACATGTGGTCGGACGAAATATATATTTCAAGAGGTTTCAATAACTAAACATAACCCATTTTATATCCAAAATCATGGTTTGTTTAGGTTTTTGTTTCTGTACTGAAGTATTCCTTCGGTTTAGAAACCAAACTTTGGCTCAAAATAAACCGTATTATAATGAACCCAAAAATATTTGGTTATTTTATTATCTATTATTGATTACATCCATTATGGTTGGTTTAGTGTTATAAAATATAGATCTGTATGTAGTCTTTAGAGTACTCATGTAGTATTAAAATTTGTACACGAAAACATTCGCGATCGCTTCTGCTGCTGCTTGCGTATAATTTTATGTTTGGAATCCAAAAAGACAAAAATAGATTTTGGCTCCGTTCAAGTGTTTTAGCGAGGTAACGAGGTAGTGGTAATGATTAGATAATTGATATTCAATTTTTTACAATTCCAGTTTCAGAAGTCTGACGAGATTTGTTTTTATTCTTCAAAAATATCAACGATTTGTAGGCAAACCGTTTTGATTCCAATTTCTAATCGCGGTCGAGTGGATCGCCCGAGCGCTGGACGACGGACTAAAAATCCGTATCGATCCGCTACGGATGATCAATCGGCAATGTCGGAATGGAAACGCGTCTGAATCACCGGTCCCAATTTTCCAGACCCCCCCCCTCCAAAAAAAAGGACGCCTTTTAACCGCGATCGGAAGCCGGGTGGGGGGGTCGGGCCGTGAATTCCCACAAGTTCGCCCCCGCCGTGAAGTGTGGCGGGGAAGGGAGGGGGGAGGGGGTTAAAGCGAACCCCCCAGAACAGGCGGGTTGAAACGTTTTATCGATAGCCGGTCGGGTCGCGGTCGATAGTCGCGCCGCGTCTATTACAATGGGCGCACTGTTACGGCGACGACGGGAATCGATAGTTTTGCCCTCCGGCGGTCTCGCCCGCGAAACGGACGCACGTCGCCGCGCTCGTGCCCGGGCACATTACGCTTAACGCCTACGCGACGTAATATTTTTATATTTTTATTTCGTAATAGTAAACAGCGGCGGCCACGGTAGGCAACGGAAATATTACCGACGGCGGTCGTTTGGTGAGGTGGTGACCGGGTGGCGGCGGCGGCGGGTTTTCGTTTGTTTCTGGTTTCTACTCTCACCGTTCCGCCCGTCGCGGCGATTGAAAAAAAAAAATTACGAAAAATTTAAACTTTACGTCGCGCGCCCACCTACCTACCTATTATACCGCCCATGCGACCCGTAATGTATTGTACGCGGACTATTTCGACCGCGTACCCACCGGGGCCGCGATCAAATCCCCGTGCGGCCGGAAAGTTCGTTTTTCGATACGGGCAAACGCCGTTTTCCCCATTCCGTTTCGCGGACCAGACGCCGACGTCGTCGTCGTCGTCGCGTAACGTACGCAATAATATTCTTTCGTGGTCGTCGACGCGGCCGTAGTCGTAGTCGTAGCAACACGCACGCACTCGCGCGGCGCCGTACGCAACTCACGCGCGACACGACGACGCGGACGCGGACGACGGCGGCGGCGGCCACGGAGAACGCACTCACATCCTTCGCGCGGATTCGGTCGACATGACGTGCTGCTGTTGCCGCCGCCGCCGCCGCCACCACCTCCGCCGCCATTGCGCCGCTAAATGAAAAACGCCACAGGCCGTTCGCGTTTCACAGACGACGACCAATGGGTAAGTGTACAACGGCTGCTGCCGCAACGACCCCGGAGACGTTTATGCCCGCGCGTTCCGTTTTCTTCCGAACGTCTTAACGCGCGTCCCGTTCCAACCGAGGAGTTTGATGTGTAGTCCACACGGTACCCGCGGTCGGACGGCCTCCCCGTTCGTCATTACACCATACGCCTGCCTATAACATGTATTTCGCGTTTCTTGCGCAGAGGCTTTGGTCCAGTTCGACTACGAGGCCCGAGAGCCGGACGAGTTGACGTTGAAGAAGGGCGACATCATTACCGACGTCAAACCCATGCCCGACGGATGGATGGAAGGCTACAAAGACGGCAAGAAAGGAATGTTCCCGGACAACTACGTCAGGGTATCTATACCGCCGTCATGTCTTAGTCGCCACTAATAATTAGGCACCGTCCAATAATCTTTGTTGTTATCTTTGTCGTTACAGATAGTTCACAATTCTACAGGTGTCGTTTTGAGAAAAAGTAAGCCACCGTCATAAGATTGTTACACCAGTACCTATTTGTCGTTTTTGCGCGCCTTAACAACAGAATTTTGTTTCTAGAAAACGTAAGAAAGTGTAAAGTGTTGTTCAGTTACAAACCGGCCAACAGAGACGAATTAGAACTGAACATTGACGATGTAATCGAAGTTCTCGGTGAAGTCGAAGAAGGTTGGTGGAAAGGAGAGCTCAGAAATGAAGTGAGTACCTACAGATTTGTATGTGCAAGTACTTTGATAATCATTACATTTCCATGCTATGTATATTTTCATTCAATAATTGTATTGTTTATTATTGTTTTTTTTTTTCTATAAGATAACCCAAGAACGATAATATACTTCTTATCACAGTGTACTTGTAACTTTATTTATGGACTACTTATTTTTCATAATTTATTAACTGCATTGAATGATAATATTTTGTATATTTAAATATTAATGTTATAAAGTCTATTAAATCAGGCAAACTACCTACTTACAACTGATATTATTTTCATAATATGCTTATTTATTTCTTTAGTTTGTAACTAGAAATGAAAATGTTGATAATTATTAACCTTAAACACAGTTAATTGATTTTTAAATGATATAATTGGTTGTGTTAAAATATTCATTGGGCAATGTCTGATCTTTTTAAAATGCACGTGCATTCAATTTTCAATGAATCTGTACTCATTTTAATTAACAATTTAATTAGGTAGATATATTAGATATATTTTGATTTCACTAATAATAATTATTGTCATTTTTAAATCATTTTGAATATTATCATTTTTCAAAGTTTCATGATTTTCTTTTCCATGTAAAAATACGTAACGCTAGATATTATTCATAGTTCAGCTTCTCGATTCATAATTTGTTTGTAACAAAAAAATGAGTCATACGACGCATATCTGTTGGCTATTTAATGTAAACAAATAAAGCTACACACCAAATTAATAATTGTTATGGTTTTGACATACTTTTTAATTAATTTAACTTCTTCATACAGTGCTTTCTTTTATATTAAAATTTTAAAAAAAAATAAGAATATTAATGATAATTAAAAGATAATTAATAAATAGAAAGGTTTTATTTGATAATATTTTTCTGGTAAATTATTAGTCACTTTTGCCATGTGTTTACATAAATATAATATTTTAGATTTGTATTATTGCCGTCATCAAATTAATTATTTATGTACAAGAATTAAGATTATAATATTATAATAGATGTTATGAAATAAGTAACTATTGACGGGGTTGCGATGGGTAACACGACAATAGGTTTGCTAGCATATGCTGATGACTTAGCTTTTTTGGGAAATAATTTAAATACTGTAAAACAGAATTGTAGAAAACTAATAAATGTAGCAGGCAAATGTGGTCTAAAGATCAATGACAAAAAAACGGAGTATGTCATAATTGGAAGAAGAAGTAGAGAATACCAACAAGGAGATGACAAAAAAACGGAGTATGTCATAATTGGAACAAAAAAACGGAGTATGTCATAATTGGAAGAAGAAGTAGAGAATACCAACAAGGAGAGTTGATGGAAATAGATAACCATAAGTTAAAGAGAGCATCACATTTTAAATACCTAGGATCTATAATAACACAAGATGACCTTAAGATGGAGATGGACACTAGGATTCTAATGGGAAATAAGTGCTTTTTTGGCTTAAGGAGTATGTTTAGCTCAAAAATCTTGTTGAAAAAATTAAAAATAAAATTATACATGACCCTGATAAGACCAGCAGTTTTATATGGCTCTGAGACATGGACACTGAGAAAGGTAGAAGAAAAAAGACTTGCGGTGTTTGAACGAAAAATTCTAAGAAGAATCTATGGACCATGTATCGATTCTGACACTAGAGAATGGACGATACGCCACAATGATGAGCTGAAGAACTTGTATCAAAAACCAGACATTATATCCGAAATTAATAGGAGAAGATTAATGTGGGCTGGACATGCCTGGAGGAAAGAGGGCTCTTTCATTAAGGCGGTTATTAAAGAAAATCCGACTGGGAAAAGACCGTTAGGAAGANCAGGGATGGTCTTGAAGGCCGTAACCCACAAGAAGAAGAAAGAAGAAGATGTTATGAAGTAGTAACCAAAACATAATGATTACATTTTAGATAAATGACTAATTAAGAAAAGGTCATAGCAATATTATTGATTATTGTTATTATTTATTTGCTTTGATAACTGCAGATAATATGAGTTCTTATCTAATATTATAATAATATTTTATAATAACACAATATATTAATATATTAAACAACATTTAAAAATATATTGAAAATATTATTCTCAATACTGTTTCTAAATATATTTTAAATGACAATTTTATATGTATTATGTATTTTAAACGTTGTAACATTTTAATTTAACCATAAAGTAAACATAGTAATCTTTATTTTTGACATTGATAGATTGATGTGGTGGTATTCATAAATAAAGATTGTCAATTTGGAATAATAACTACATATTTCCATAAAAAAAAAAAAACCATTTAAATTCTGTTATAAAAACTATTATTTTTTTTCTTAAAATGGTTATCTTTTTTATGAACTTCAATCAGAATGTGTAATCTGCAATTAATTTTGTGTAATAGACATACATTTTAATTCATTTCGTGAAATGGAAACTATTAATTTACGTTTGGGGTATTTTTTTTTTTTTTTTTAACTTCTATGAATAATTTTTAGATAATTGTCATCGAAAAATAACATTGTGTAATATTATGACAAAATAAATATTAGATACTAATAATCTAATATTAATATGCTTATTAATATATATTAATAATATTTCATGTATAAAATAATATGAAGACTGCAAGTTAACAGCTGAAGATAAAATTTTAATTATTTACCTGTTTGTTTTTGTTGGTAAATAATTATCTTGATTAATCTACTTATCCGTTCATCGACTTTACCCCATCCATTTGTTATACATTTGTTTAAAATCATAACTCAGAAATGTTTGTATCATAAAAGTACATTTTAAATTGCGCTATCTTGATGGCATAAAAATCAAAGTTTAAAATCATATAATATGTATACAAATTTCAAATAATCGTCATAATGGTATTATTTACCAAATATTTTATTAAAACAATTCTTACGCCACTAATATTATCATAGGTGACTCAGGTGACAAATGTCATTCGTTTATTTACAATACAACAAAATTTAACTGATAGTTTTGTGTTAACATTAATCAAATACAAATGTTTTAATTAGATATATTGCTTTTTGTAAAATTCAAAGAATAGATGAAATAAAATTATCTAAAAATGATTAAAATGTGTATAACTGTAGATTCCGAAATTACGAGAATTTACTAATCAAATCATAATAACTGTGTCTTTTTTTTTTTGCTTTTGATAATTCGTATACAATAAATAATAATTTTCATTACTGTTGATATCTAATAAATGAAAACAAGTAATCAATTTTATTCTTATTAATATTAAAATGTTCCTAGTCTTAATGACTATTTCAAAAAAGTTATTCATATAATAGTGTACATTTTAAAAGAAATTAATTATATTGTAGAATAACAGTTTCCACTTTTTGATAAAATATGTGTCAATTAAATGAAACGAAAAACAGTTTACATATTCTTGATCATAGTTCATAAAGTGGATATCTGTTTATTGAGTGTTCAGTGACAAATTTTAATAAATTTAATGTTATTGATGGACTCAATATATTTTACTGAACTGGTCTAATATTACATACAATTTTTGTTTAGAACAATAATTAATTAGAATTTTAATTTAATGTAATTTAAATTTTGTGATCAAATCATGGATTTTATTTTTTGTTTTTCTAAAGATAGAAGTTAAACCATTTTAATAACCTAGAAAATACAATATTAAAATTCCCATCCTGGGAGTGGCTTTGTAATTAATGAACAGACAAATTCCAGACGTGGTTACAAATATTTTTTTAATATAGCCCATGTACATTTATTTCTTGGATTAAATGTAATTAATAATTTATTCAGAGTAATTTGTAATAGAATTCGTAAAATTGTTCATATTTGGAATATACTATTATTTATTTAATTTATGAAAATCATTTCATACATTTGATAGATTTGATAGTTTCTACTATTTCAACATGAACAATTTACTTAACTTTTATTTGATTGCACCATAATAAATGTACATATTTGATTTGAATTTTAGATTGGCGTATTTCCGTCTAATTATGTTACTGAAATATCAGATACCAAGAGTGTCAGTAGGAGTGACTCTAAAACTTCTATTGGATCTCTTCAAAAAGAAGATTACCTTAAAAAAGGTATTTTTGATTATCTATTCAAAAGTCTAAGTTACAAACCATTGATATTTAAATATTCATTTTGTATTTATGTATTAGTAAAACACATTATATCTTAATATTATAATCTTTTTCAATACATAATTTATTATTTTTTAGAATTACCTATTATGGAACCAATCAAAACTGTAAATAATGCAGAACCAAATATTCCAGTGCTGCCTCCAAAACCAGGTACACAAATAAATTGATATTTAGAAAATAAATGTTAAGTAAAACTATTTTAATAAATTTCTAAATAAACACAAACTATTTATATTGCATTTAATAAACAAATAGTTGTTAGTGTTTCATCAAAAATGCACATAAACTGATAAGAACAAACAATTACAGTACTAATTATCAATCACTTGAAAGATAATTTCTTACTATTGAGATATCTTTATAGCACGGCTTCAGTAGTATTTAATTATTTTCCGTAGACTGTTTGATTATTGACTTTATTTGTTTAAAAGCATCATTTTCATGGATAAAAACAATTTACTCTAAAGTTTATTTTACTTTTTTTTATCTTTTAATTAAACATTAAATCTTTTGTATATTAGTTTATTTGTAGTCCCCAAAAAATTGTCTATCAATTATGAAATCCATTAAACAGAGATGGTCTAGTCTATTCATTTGTAAGAAGCGTCTTAACATAATTTTTATTATATTCTAAGTGTGAATTTGAAATAATATTTAATTTAATTATTCTTATTACTTTTAGCAATTATTATCATTAATTATATTAATTAAAATATTTTCTTATTTTATATTATACATTAATTTTTTAATTTAATTCATAATGATTTTTATTATATTATAATATACATTATTTTTTAATTAATTTCATAAACAATTAATTAGTATAATATGCATTCTTTGTATAGTAATAGTCAATCAAATTAACTATATTTTATTAATCGGCCGGTATTTACTTTTAGCAATTTATCTCAAAAATATATGAGTAAAATAAATTAAAAGTGTTTACAATGATATTAAGAATTAATGATTTTTAGTTATTATATACATGCACTATAATTAAAACTTAGCAGCTCTATTGTATTTTCTATTGTATGATTTCAATGATTTTTTTATTGTGAATAGCTAAAGAAGTTTGTGTAGCACTCTTTCCATATGAAGCAGTCAATAGTGATGAACTAACCTTAGTGGAGGGAGATATAGTTACGATTTTATCGCGTGAAGTAGAAGACAAAGGCTGGTGGAAAGGAGAGCTAAAGGGAAAAATTGGTGTGTTTCCTGACAACTTTGTTCAAGTCATGAATCAAGACGAGGTAATTGATTTATATTAAATTTTGCTTCTATTGATATAATATGTATTTTTATTATATTTTGTATACGTGTTTGTGTGTTTATGTGTATTGATTCAGTTGGCAACAAAAACTGAAAAGTCAGCCAGTAGTCCACGCAGTGGTACAACAGCTTCTTTACGTAAGGTTTTCCAGAGTCAAATGGAAAATAAATCATTGGGACCGGTGTTAAATAAAAAACCAGCTCTGCCACCACCACCGCCTACGACCAAAAAACCTCCATCTTCTAAAAGTTCTTCCACGTCTTCCTTGTCAAAAACTCTAAGTGGCATCAAATCAATGTTGAATTCCGAACAAAACTCTGCAGACAAGATTAAACACATAGTGGCTGAAACTAGTGATTCTAAACAATATGGATCTATAGCAGTAAAACGTTCAGAGTCTGTGGGTTCTATGAAGAAAACGTCAGATTCACCAGATGGATCATCTATGAGTAGATCTTCGTACCAAGTTACACCATCGTCTGTACCCGAATCATCACCTTCGTCATTAGTTTTCACAAATGTATTTATATTATATTTTTATTAACGTAAATAAAATATCCTTAATATTTGTAAAACAAATTATGACTGATACATATTTTGTGGTTAGCACAATAATATTACTGCTGCTGAGACTAAGAGTCCTGATTTCGATCAAATTGAGAGAACCGCTATGCTGAGCCATCCTACAGCATCTCGAGTCAAGGCTCCTAGAAGGAGGCCACCGTCTTCAGCGTTTAGTGTGCCCAGTGAAGATGATCCTATTTTAGATTCTCCAACGACCAACGGAATGGAAAATCTACCTGGTGTAGATAAAGAAAAAGCTCCTTGGGTTCAAGAGTTGAAAATGAATCAAGCAAAAAAATCATCAGCTGTTAATTCGGTTATAGGTAAGTTTGCTATATTTTTTCATTATCCTAATATAGGATATATAATATATATATATATCCTAATAAGGATTAGGGCTCGGATTTATATGCATATATATATTTTTACTGTGACTTGATAAATTAATTTAGGCAAGTGATAAATTTGTGTTGAGTGATATTCAACGGAATGAACTATATTTGATTTTAAATATTCTTACGTATTTTGCTATATAATTTGTTCATATAGGATTATTTGTATACAATTGTATTATTCAATACAGATAATTTCTATTGTTTCAAAAAGTATGTAAACAAATTAATACTAAATAAAATTAATTAGAGATATCCATTGTGAAATAAATGAGATAATATTGCAGACTGAGCTCACTCTTTTGGACATTGTAATTATAAAATTTGCACCCATTACCTCTATTAAAGTGGAGTGTTCGTTTAGTTAATATAAATCTGTGTTAACGACCAAACCGTAGATTATTTAACTTTGACAATATCAGCATATATAATGTTTATGGTATCTCATTGATATCAAGTTAAAGATGAATAAGGTTTAATTTCATAATAATTTCAATTCAAGTTTTTTAATTTTTAATTTTTTTTTTTATCACATACAAACCAATTTTTGATTACATATTATTTACATATTTTGGTTTTATTAATGTATTTAAATCTGAGCCCTACTAATTATTAATTATTCAATGTGTATGTGTCAAGGAGGTGGTAAAACGCGAGTAATGATTAGTCCCTCTACGACCACTATTACGTCGGAGAGCTCAGAAACTACTACAGTCACATCCCGGTCGGGATTGACTTCAGTAGGTGTAGGTGGTGTTGTATTTAAACCTCCTGGTTATGTGCCACCGCTAACTACACCTGAACAGGTAACAGTTAGCACACCAACCAGTCCTGTGGCTCCTGTATCTACTGATTTCAATTCATCTGCATTATCAGTGCTTAATGAAAAGGTTAAAACACATTGTTATTATAATTTTTATTGTTAAATATTCTATTTGTCTTGCTTTTTTGTATAGGTAAAACAATTGGAGACCACTGTTCAAGTGCAAACAATTTTACTCGATAAGTTGTCGACAAAATTGGAATTCGAGACGGAAAAACGAAACGAGATGGAAAAGGAATTAAAAAAAATCATGGAACTTGTAACAAGAGTATGACACGGACAATGGTTTTTCCATAAAAGTTAAAATTAATTAATAGTTAATTATGAAATCATAATCAAACAAGTACTTAGGCCTCCTTACCAATTTTTTTTTATGCATAGTCAAATTATGGTTATATGTATAATGTACATATGTTTAATTGACCAGGAATTATAAAATCCATTCCATAAATTATACTCTATAAATCTTTATTCTATATTCCAATACAATATTAGTTTAACAACCTAACCTAACTAAATTTTAAATTAATAGTATTGAGCATTTATTTTGTTGTACCTAGTGTACCGTATTATACATTATTTTTACGTTTAATCTTCTAGTCTTTTAATGTCCAATTATTCACAATTTTCATTAACCTTATCATTTAAGTATTATTTTTAAACTATTATTTCTTTATGTTGTAATCATTCCTTGTGTTGTTTAGTTTACTCTGAACGCTAAATATTGTGATAAACAAGGGTGTATCTTCCAATCACTGCCTCATACACAAAAAAACAAAAACCTATCATATTTCTTAACAAACTAAAATTGTATTACAAATTCTAAATTTTATTGAATAGCTAACTATTAATTATTAATTTATAAAATCATCGCGAATTATTAAATAGTCTAATCATTGTTTGAATAGGCGGTACACCCAAGCTCATTTTCCAAATAATTTTTAAATGTGATTTTTATACTTTTTTTTTTTTTTTTTAAAAAAAAAAACATTTCTTAGGGTGACATATATAAATATATACTCATTATTTATTGGTAATCATGATAAATTATTGTACTTACCCATAATTGTTTTTAGTAATTTACAATAATATTATTATATAGATAATGTCTGAACTGTTAAGTTTCGTTATGTATGTTATTGGACTCCATCTGAGTTACGGTGTTTTTGAAAATGAATCTATGGAAAAATTAATTTTGTTAATCAGTTGTTCTGTTATAATGTATTAAATTAATATGCGTGAATCCTTCAATAATGGTTTCTCTTCAACTCCGATATGAATAATATTAAATGTTAATTTCCCTAGTCCCATTTTTTTATAACACTAAATGTAAAACCATTTATTTCTTAATGTAGGAATACATTTTATAGATATTATATGGAGTCATGGCAAATCTGTTAACTACCACCATAATATGATGTCAGCCTATAATAATTATTATTTTATTTTGTACGAATCATTAATTTTATAATGCTATTATTTTACATTTTTTTTTTTTTTTTACTAATTTATTTCTAGACAAATTTTAGTTTATTTTTCGTTCAACGAACCATGTACATAACATTTAGCTGATATATTTAAAGAAAACATATATCTATATAGCTAAATATATATTTATTTATATACATTTGAAAAAAAAATTAAAAAATAAGCAATCGACTGATTTTGCACACATGGTCTACATAACGTCATGTACTACGAAATCAAACACGCAATAATTATTAGGCTTTATTTATTAAATATTTTTTTTTGTTCATTTTGTTTCCCCCCTTTGATATCCGTCCCTCAAACGACCAGTAATTTTTTTACTCATCAAATGTTTTTATATGTATAATATATTATATTTTCATATAAAAGTAATTCTATAATATTGACTAATTATTTAAAAAAAATAGAAAAATTATTATATACATTTTCGATGTATTAGAGATTCTATGAACCGGCTACAATGTTATACGATAATATACCATTGATTATTATAAATTATTTTTTATTTTAGGAAACAAATATTATCATTATTATTATTCAAATATTATTATTAACTATTGTAAGTTGTCCAACGGTGTCATATATATTTTATAAATTGTTAATTTTTATTTTCAATAAAAGTATTAAAAATAATTTTGGTTTATATTATTAATAAATCACCCTTGAAGATTGCATGCTACCCAAAGTGGATTTAAAGGTACTTTAGAATATTTGTATAATTATAAATGTTTGTACGACAGAAATTCTTAAAAATGTCTGTACGTTTTTTAATACAAAAACATTTCTTATAGAAAAAACTCGCATAGCCTATACAACAGTCTGATTTTGTTCTAAATAATTTTTATTGAAAAAAAATAATACTTTGCAGGTTGGATAGAAGCCCGATTTTTAAAACTCAACTATAAAATCTAAAATAAGGATTCGAATAATGCAAATATTTGTTATTTTTTTAAACATATATTTTTATAGCATTCTACATTATTTTAAGTCGAATGAAAAATCTGGTCTTTTACTCCACTTAGAAAAAGTTCTCTTCTTTCAAATGAAATAAAATAATCTAAATCCGACATATCTACGAAACGTGAGAGTTTTTTCTGTAAAAAAATTAAAAATCCATATAGAACTTTTTAATTTTGATCATAGTCCTTTTGTTGAAATGTGTTTGCGCGTTTGCATCGCCAAGTTAAACTTGCAATAAACCTGGAGTTAAATTTTCTAGTATTTGTGTTAAATCAAACCTAAGCAAAAAAAAAAAAAAGGATAGATATACTTCCAACATGGGTGCAGCCACTGTTGTAGATGGGAAGTTGGGAAGGTAGGATACAGACGAGAATTTAATGTATATCTGTAAGCATGGATAAACCATTGCTAACGAAAACAATGTGCGTTTCTATGACAACAAATGATTTTTAAAAAAGATTAAAATAATAAAAAATAAATAAAAACTGTTACAAATGACAATCTTTTTTTTAATCTTTCAATCTTTTTAACCTAAGGTTTTCCTCATTATCTCGAATATTAATGAGAATTTTAAAAAATTATCTCTCTAAAGTACTATTCAAAGAACATTTCTGAAAAAGTGATTTATTTGATAATCGCAGTATGCTTTCTGGTAGAAAACGTTCACATTAAATAAAAATAACCTACTCAGAATCTAAAATAAAATGTCCGAAAATAGCTCAAAAATCGCCAAAATATTTTTTACCCCCAACCCCAACTAGTTGGGATGAAGTCAAAGGAGAAGAAAAAGAAGACCTATCAGGTGAAACTCCTATTAATGTATACCTCTTAATAGTGGATCCTTTCTAATAGGGGAAACTTTTAAAGTCCCCGGCAAAAATGTATGTACATATTAGAAGTTATAACTTCTTAATAGTGGACGTGGACACTAAAGACTGGTACCAAAATTAAAACTACCTCTTATAAATGGACACACATGTACATATAAAAAATGTTTAAGAAGTAATAAAAATACTATAATAATTATCTTTTATACATTTCGTTCATTTTTTTATCTTATTTTAATAGTTTTCCTATTCGATAAATGTCAAATGTTTATGTGTTCGGTCATCAGTTGTGTGCTAAAAAAATTTAGATAAAAAGAGATTATATATTTTTTTAACTGTACATAAATATTCAATATTTTTATACCCATTTTTTAATACATATACATATATAATAATATATTATATAATATATATATAATAAATAATAAATTAAACTTAATATTAATCATAATATTATCATAGTAGTTAAACAATTAATGTATTACAGTACAGTAAATAGTAATACATTGTTTATATAAATTATAATAAATAATACCAATTTTAATGTGTATGTATATGTATAGGTAACCAATTTTCTATAGCGCCTCTCCATAGTGGACATTTTGTAATTTCTCGCAAATGTCCACTATGTAGAGGCTTTTTCAATAGCGGACAACTTCTTAGGGTGGACATTTTTTAATTCCCCGTGGCTGTCCACTATGTACAGGTTTCAATGTAATACGATTGAAAATAGTATTTATAAGAAGCGGTAACGCGCGGCGAGTGTAATTATAATTCATTGGCACTAATATCGATTTACACCAGCCGACAATTAAACATACGAATTAATTTGCCTAAATTTCACTGCTTAATAATAAATGGCCGATACCAACATGGGCCCTAAATGTTGGTCTTTAAATCAATTCCTTTACGAACCTTCTCTATCACCCCTTAACAACATACTCCACCCCTCTCGGTCATCAATTAATTATTGTGGGACTAGCGTAATATTCTAACGAGAAATAAGGAGTAGAACGTAAAGATGGGTACAGTTATTCGAAAATTATAAGGACAAATACTGATCATCATCATCATCACTGGCATGATTATCAAAGTTTTTGCCGCCATCACTACATCCTTCCATTCCTCCCGATCTTAAAAAGTTATCTTCCATTCTTGCATTCCCAGAGCTTATATAGATCCTCTTCTACTATACGTTTAGCCACTTCTTCCTCGACGTCTTCTTCCGATTTCCATTCCATAACTTGATATTGGCTCAGTTCCTCTTGAATTTTATTTTCCGTTTATTTGTTCTTGTGTCACGAACTGGTCCGTACATAATTCTACGTGTTTTGTTTTCAAAAGTTCTTAGTCTTTTTACAGTCACACTTGTCGCTGCCCATATGTCTCACCCATATGTGAAAGTAGGTCTAATAATTTGTGGTCTTGTATAATTTTGATTTCGTCTTCTTGGAGAAAACTTGAGATTTGAAGAGTATAGATAGTGCATAGAGGCTCCTTTTGATTTTGCTGCCCTCATACTTATTTACCGTGACCAATTATTATTTTTTTTATTGAGAAATATTTCTAAATATCGTATTAGTCATTGAATCTAGTTTATCTCGGAATAGCTCAGTGTCGAGAAGCTCCGATATTTCGGTTTTCTCTACATTAAACTGTAACACTAGTTTTACTGCGGTCTTTTCGAACGCCATTGCTGAACTTAAAGCACCCTCCAGTGATTCACTAGTGATTCAAATCATCCGCAAAACCTAAAATCTGTACTCAGTGTTGCTTGACCACCATCACACTTGCTTTAATTTGAACCATTCTTATTACGTTTCCTAACGCATAGTGTCTATGCATTTAGGCTTTGCGATAGTATTTTGTGCAGGGGTTCCCAACAATCTGGCGTAGGCGCTGTACGTGAACACATTTTTGCTATATTGCCCGTTATATAGAAAGACGGAGACGGCCTCTTAACAGCCGTTTTTCGTACAAACACTGGCGGCGGCCAACGGAAATATTAATAATTTCTCACGTCAATATACGCCTACTGCCTATGCACATAGGTAATAGTATTATAAATATGGGTAAACAGTAATTTGCGTATGCATAGGGCCGACTGCAGCGTCATCGGGCCGTCCGCCTGTCAAACGCGTGTCCAAAAAATAATATTATCGTCGTCGTACCTACAACAAACTAGTCGTCGCGGACATAATTCATTTTTCCACGACAGATAAATAATGTATTATACCCACCTATCTAACCGAGTGTTTACACACGATATTTTACCGTCGAAAACCGAATGGACACCTCGATTGCCCACTTCCCGCGACGATATTCTACACCGTCCAATACTATTTAAAATTTAAATAGAACGTGTCGAAATAATGCCTATACGTTTGACATTCGTATTGTGTTTTCGATTTTGTGAGTTTACATTATGGGACGTCCGTGCAAAAACAACGGCTGTCTAGGTATTATTATTCGGGCCGACCGATGTTGGATATTGTGCGATGGTTGCGCGACGATGAGTAATAATCTGCGTACTGCAGTCTGCAGGTGATAGTCATCGATTACCTACTCGATAGTGTATTGCACAATTGATATTGTAATACAATAAGTGGACGGTATAGGCAGAGCCGGATTGAGCTCAGCTATAGCTCTGGGCACATAATATTATGTTTTCATAGCCCGCATTGTAAGGTCATACGAGCAAAGTGTTCACCGTTTGTTTACATTTTTTGATGATAATTCGCTTGTGTAGTGTTAGAAAAAAAAACCTATGTATTCATAATTTAAATGGCACAACAAATTACATATTTAAATTTTAAAATATCCCTTTTCTAACTTCTTGTCAGCCAAAATCAATGGTATTTTGTAGTAGTTAATTTTCAATTTTGAATTATGTTAAAATACTTTCCAATTTCTCATCTGAAACGGTGAATTACATAGGTAACGAGTATACAATTTTTTTTTTCGAGCGGAATACTGTGAATATTACTTTGTAAATTTGTACTTAATGTGTTTATTTAGAATAATGGAGATCGAATTTCGAGCGGAAAATATCGATGTTTTAACATAATAACTTGTTTCATATTTTTGTATGCGTATCAAGCTCTATAATTGTATTTGTACCCAACTTGTTTCGTCGAAACTGTTACGAAATGTATTTATTATTACCGATGAAAAAGTGATAAAACACCGATATTTTGTTTGTTAAATCGAAGACTAAAATTCCACGGGAAAACATCGATGTTTATCGTCTACATCTATACCTATTGTATAGGATCAATAATGATTATGATTTCGAGTCTATACCCTTATATACATTAAAATTCAAGAAAATTAATTCACTTAATAAATTAATACTAATTAACTAACTTTTGCACCGAAAAGTGTATTAAAATTGTCACGTAAATTATTTGTCTGGAGTATAAAAAAAATGAAGAGGGAGTGATACCTGTATGCGTTTTTTCCGTTTTATAAACGTACGACATAGCACATTTGGATTCGGCAGGGGCAACATTGTGCTGTGAGTTTTAATATTAGAGTGAACTAACTTATTAATCAAACTTAAAGATAAGAATATTATCTGTGTAACACTGAGGCTATTTTTCGATATTTTTATTTCTAAAAGAGATATCTCATCACAACGTTAATATCTCACTTCAAAAATTAATGTACCGAAAAACAAACAGCGCCAACGTTACTCAGACAATATTTTTATCTTTAAGATCGATAATGTGCCAGTTCACTCTAATATTTAAAATTTAAATTTTTAACTGACGGCACATTAATGTTGTCCATACGGAACGCAAATTCGCCATGTCGTACGCTTGTAAGATGGAGACAGCACG